GGTATCTGCTCCTTTGTGCAAGGAGGAGCAGGAGGAGCACTGCCAGAGCCCTACAAAATGACCTCCAGCAGGCCCCTGGTGTGAGTGTCTCTGACCAAACAATCAGAAACAGACTTCACGAGGGTGGCCTGAGGGCCCCACGTCCTCTAGTGGGCCCTGTGCTCACTGCCCGGCACCGTGAAGCTCGATTGCCATTTGCCACAGAACACCGGATTTGGCAAGTACACTGGCACCCTGTGCTTTTCATAGATGAGAGCAGGTTCACCCTGAGCACATGTGACAGACATGAAAGGATCTGGAGAAGCCGTGGAGAGCGTTATGCAGCCTGAAACATCGTTCAGCATGATCGATTTGGTGGGGGGTCAGTGATGGTCTGGGGAGGCATATCCATGGAGGGACGCACAGACCTATACAGGCTAGACAACACCACCCTGACTGTCATTAGGGATCGGGATGAAATCCTTGCACCCATTGTCAGACCCTATGCTGGTGCAGTGGGTCTTGGGTTCCTCCTGGTGCACGGCCTCATGTGGCCAGAGTATGCAGGCAGTTCCTGGAGGATGAAGGAATTGATACCATTGATTGAAATGAGTTTTTGGAACTTGGGATGTCTGTTATTGGGGTCTGAAGCCGCGGCCATCCTTCCCACCGCAGTGCCTTCAGGGGAAAGTCTAACTCGGTGTGTGGATATCATTTCTGCTCTGATTTGTTTTGGGTTTTAAACTGATGATCTTCAGTCAAACATTCTATCCAAGCTACAGTCCATAACTCTAGTCGTTAAAATAAATCTGACCGAAGCTGTTCCATGACGTAAATATCAGGCCTACGTCCATCTTAAAGCAAACTCCACCAGGGCGAGGCTAATATGGCGCTAGCTTCAATGCTAACCAGACGTACATAGGCTGTGTCCCAACGTCCGCCCTAAACCCTCCATAGGGCGCCATGCAGTGGTTACGCCATTTTAAACCGAATGTCTCGTGGATGAAAAAGTAGTGGACTCAAAATTTCCCACAATGAACCTTGAAAAGTAGTGATCATCGATGGTCACTGGACAAGGAGATATATCCCAGAATGCTTTGCAAAGAATCATGGGATTTGTTTGGGAGCAAAGAAAACTAATGGCAGAGCTGGAGTCACGTGACCAACGAGGAGGGAAAAATGATGTCAGAACGCTCAGTTAACTGAGTTCACTATGAAGTCCACTATATGGTGATGCAGGGGTCGGAGGTCAGGGCTGACGTTCGGACACCACCTCTGTTCCATTTGTCTTCCTCTAACCTCAGTTTTTTTTTAATTCTTTTATTAAGATCTGAGACTTTTTTTTAAATAGCAGAGCTCAGTGTGTCTGAGAAGGCAGGACTTTTCTTCCAGACTGACAATCATTGTTTTCTGCTTTCAGCTACTTTACTTCGCCAAAGAAATGTTAAATAACAGCAAATATGGGGAATAATATGTTGAGCGGTACCTACAGCCGCTGAGGTCATTTCTTCATGGTCAACATGTAGAAATGCTGCTGCCTTTACGTCCAGAGCAGGGGTCGGCAACCCAAACTGCTCAAAGAGCCATATTGGACCCAAAAAAAAAAAATAAAAAATCTGTCTGGAGCCGCAAAAATGTAAAAGTCTTATATAAGCCTCATATAGCAACACGGGCTTTAAGTGTTTTACCCCACTATAGAAAAGGACTATATGGGCTTAATATATAATAAGCATTCACAATTAAATGTTTATCCTGAAGCTAATGTCACATAGCAGCATGAGGTGAGGGACGAGCAGTGAACGCTCCGCTCCCATCGCGCAGCGCTTCACCGAGCGCAGCGCTTCACCGCCTTCACTGCGCGGTTTAAGTTTTCTTGCAATG